AAGCACGTCATATAGATTAAGTCCCATTGCACAACACGAAGCTTCTTGCTCCGCGCTTACGACACAATGGCTACAATTGAGCATAAATATTACAATACTCTGTGTAATTTAAGCACGTCATATAGATTAAGTCCCATTGGACAACACGAAGCTTCTTGCTCCGCGCTTACGACACAATGGCTACAATTGAGCATAAATATTACAATACTCTGTGTAATTTAAGCACGTCATATAGATTAAGTCCCATTGCACAACACGAAGCTTCTTGTCCCGCGCTTACGACACAATGGCTACAATTGAGCATAAATATTACAATACTCTGTGTACTTACATGTTTCAGGAGTTTGAGGAGGGTTTAATCTTGGAGTTGGCTTCCATAAAAAAAATATATAAGCCCCACCAACAAATTTCTGTAAATACTTGTACTACCAACATTTAATAAAATTTTTGACAAAATCATTTTAGACCAAACATTAAGTTTGACACTGGTTTTGAGGTAATTATACATTTCTGTGCATGGAAGAACTGATGCTTTGGGTATAATTTATGATCTATCTAAGGCCTTCAACAGTTCTTACTTCACTTCAATAAATTGTGAGGCTACAGCATTAAGGTATTAAAAACAGCGCTCAAACTTATTACTATATTGTATTTATTGACTCTCGAGCCACTAAGTATAACTACAGGCTGCGTGGCATTCAATTTTATTCCGCAGATGTAACGACACATCTTTAGGTTTCTTCGTTCGAAGTTATGACTTTTAACATCAGGCGGACTGTGGTTCATTTGTAAGTTCAATTTTATAGTCCTGAATGTAGGTCTCCCTCAAAAATCGACTCATATATTTTGCTACAGTTAGGACCACACTTGGAAAGTGGCTTATTATCCACAGTTTTTTATTATTTTAAGTTGATATCAAGTGCTGCTGCCCATCTCTTGTTCCACTTTCCTCCGCCTCTTACTTATCCGTATTCTCTTCACCACTACACGACCAAACAACATTCGGAAACAACGAAATCATTATATGTTTAGGGGATACGTTCAATTCTATAAAATATTAGAAGAATGTTTAAAAGTTTTACTTTTAAACATTCTTTAATCTTATTTTACGTTGCTTGTCTTACTTACATTAACAGATTATATTTTAATTATTCTGTTTTAAGTTGAATTTTCGCTTGGTGGAAATTATCATTACCAAAAATAAAACATTCTGTATGTTTGAATAATAACTACTTTTTATTGAGAAAGATTTTCCCGTTTTTAAATGTTACATTTTAAACCTTTTTGAGTTATAGGGGGAATTCGGGAAACTTGCCCAGGTGGGAGAGTCGAACCATGTTTCAAAATTGTATGTTATGTCATAGCTATATGTTCATGAGCCATGTGTAGGGGCTGACACAAGATATCATTTCATTTATCGCGAATGTGATCAGAAAGTTTTCTGGGCACTATAAAATAAAAAATATTTATGATTTACAATAATTTTGATAATTAACTTTTTGAAAAACTATTAAATAATATAAATTATTACTATATAATAGTTTTTCAAAAAGTTAATAAAGACTGATTGTTACAAAGTTGAATAGTAGGTAATAATATATCATCTGAATTAATAAATTAATGTTCGGTAATTCGGTAATAGAAATAAGTTAATATTATAATAAAAACTGAAATAAGTAATAACATATTTGTTTAAAAAGTTTATTGTTATAGTTTTCTTTATTTTGGAACATTATTACAATTGTTATGAAAACTTGTAATTTTTTTATGTTTCCCTTGCTGGGAGTACTAAAAGCAAGTTAATTATTGTATAAGATAACTTCATAAAGTTATGATTCAAGCTGAAAATGTTTTTATTTTCTTTTCTAAAATAGTATGATCAACTCTTCCCATACCCCGGTTCAAGTGGCCCTGCTGGTGGAGAGACGACTTATATCTAATTTTTCATAAAAATACCAATAAAATGTTTACTTGCGCGTTATATAAAAATACAATTGTGCACAAATGTAGCTACTATAATAAGGTATCACAAAAATGTATAATCGATTATCTAAACTATATGATGTTTTATGTAAAAAGCGGTTCAACTCTCCTGGACCCCCAATAACAAATTCCCCCTAATAAGGTAATAAGCGATAATATTGATATTATATTCAAAATAATCTAATAGCTTTGAAAAATAATATACTATGTCTTTACAAATTCATGTTCTTCACAATATGAGACCAATAACACAGGTTTGGGCAAATATATTATTTCTAATAAGGTTAAAATATTATTTACATTTCAATATATAATAACATGTTTGCTTAAATTAAGATATATGCTTTAAGGATTTTTAGGAATATTTTATATTATCAAAAATTTTGTTTGGTTTGGTTGCCAAAATATCCTTTTCGTAACAAATTAGTTATTTGCCTCTAGATAATACTGAATATTAACTCTTAAAATGCCAATTATATTAAAATAATTAATAATATGCAACACTTAAATTTTATATCACAAAAACATCGATGTAAAAAGGCAATTTATTTCTATATTGACACATCATTTTAGTATACAGGTGGAGCATAGAGATGAGGCAGTATGAAAAAATGACAAACAGTACCCTCATACTAGGTTATTTCTCTGTATCATGGAGGCAGTTTATATACATAAATTGTAAGTTATACAAATTAATAACTGTTCCCTGCAGGATTTGAACCCGCGGCTCTCAGCGCCGCCACTCGACGCTAAGTCACTACCCCACACAGCCATTATACTCAACTATTCCTATAACTATTTTTGATATAGAGAAATTTCTTGGAGTAGAGAAACTTCTTGAATGGAATTTTGACATTGTGAAGTTTGAGTTAAAACTCTAGATTTTTGTCATTATAGGGTTTTATTTTAATCTCTCTCGACATTGTATTTAAATACCCGGCCTTCGAGAAAGGACCTAAAGCTTAAATGTAATGATTATATCCCCTTTGACTATAGCACTCTAAATTCCTGTCGTAGTGTAAATAAGGATTGAGTATTACAATAAAATTGTATATAAATGCAAATTATGATTTTTCTAAAATATGTGACATTTGAGCAAATTTCTCTTAGATTTGCATAATACTGTCCCATCTCAATATGCTACTATTTATAGATCAATATTTAATTGTAGTATAATTCAATAGTATGTACGTATAACCACTTTATTCTTAAATTAAATATTAAAAGATATATTTTCGACTAGGGTTTATCTTTCAAAAAACTCATAACACCTGCTTATATTCAATGTTCTAGTGATTATAGCATAATAATAGTAAATTTTGAAACCCTGGTTATTACGCGTGTAAAGTAAAATGACGTTTACCCAGTATGAAGAGAACCTCTAAACAAGGTATCATCTTAATAAACAGACTGCGGTGGCTAACTGATAAGCGATACGGAGGCTAAACTCGTGTCTTATTATCGACGGTGGTGTGTCTGAGCTAGGTAAAGTGGCGGTGGGACTAGTGACGTCAGTGACGATGCACGCAACTGAGGGAGGGAAGGTGTTCTAGAATATAGGTAAGAGATGATTTTGTTATTTTAACATCTTTAATATAAGTAACCCTGTATATTAAACATAATGATTATATTCTCTTTGCTGTACATATTAGATAAGGTCACGCAGATGTTTTTTCTAAAGAAGATATTTGCCTGAAACACTGACCAAGTTTTTGAGTCATATTTTTTTTTGATTCCCTAAAATAAAAATCAGCTGAAAATTTTGTAAAGCTTTGAGTAGCCACGTATTTAAAAGTAAAATTAACTTTATTAACAATGTGCACCGATCGATTCTATAATTATGTAGACATATTTACATTTTCCACATACATAAAGTTAAGTGCTGTCACATCTAGGTTCCAGGATTGAGTTCAATAAAGAATATGACAAAACTAGTTATATAACGACTAAGTATGTAAGTACATAATTTCATATTTTACACTTGATGCATTTGTACAAAATGTCAAGTGTCACATGACAATTTCCAAAATATTTTTGTTTATTATTCCATGGTTATAATATAAATTAAAAAATGTGACAATAGCAGATACTTGACTGAGGATGTAGGTCCAGCAATTTGATACTTTACACTGGAAGCACTTCAAATTAATAATAAAAATAAAACTAAAAACTTTTTGAGATTACTTAAATTGAAGTATTGCACAGCTATTCAAGTTTAATTTTAGTATTTATTACACAAATGGACTATAACATGTATTATATATAGATATTATATTTTATGGTAACAACCTCTTTTTATAACAATAATAATATCAGACTTTAGTTTCCAACATAGGCCACATACTCTAGCAGATATTAACAAAACAATGTCGTATGCGTCCCATTCCCGTTTTTATTGCAAAAACCTTTTCTTTGCAACATTCAGCTTCGTTAAGTTATGACTATAGCTTTATCACAAAGCCGTGCCGCCATCACGAATAGAGCGATCAACACGAATAGCGCAATTCGTTTGGTTCGACAATCCGTTACCGAATTTCGCGGCGGTAAGTTATTCGCACAGTTCAGCTATCATTTATAATATTGCCGAATAAATATATTGTAAAAATATCACATACATAAATATTTACTAATTCTTATATATAATAAAATATCCAATATATTTGTTAATATTTTTCGTAACATTATGATATTATATTTCTAGTCAAGTAACGTTATGATGTTATACATGTAAAAGAATATTGTTAACAGTTATGTGAATTTTACTTTCCTCCCACGCACTACACCTGTCGTAATCTAGGCACGGCACCGCCCTTTTTGACAAACTACAATTTAAACATATATATTTATATATTATAACACTTAACACTAAAAGCCAAAATTACTAAAATGAGTCCCAGTGATACCTTTATAAAATTAGCCATTGGATCATTGTAAGCACACAAGGATTTATAAAAGAGTGTTAAACAAACAAACAATACATGCATCATCTGCACTTCTTAAAAAATTGCTTCTTATATCTATGAAAGAACATTCTTAGAAGTAAGTCGTTTGAGGCAAGCATTTCTGACTTGGTCGTTGCCGAGTCGCTCTGCTTCATGCAGCACTCGGCGTAAGTCGTTAGTTCGTTCGTGTCTTGCGGCTAGTATATACGCACTACTTACATTACGGCACACTAAATAGCACGATATCTGTCGTAAAAAATAAGGCAATAAAATATACATAGGTAATGTTTTACGTCTGGCACTATACAGGGTTATTTTTAAATATACGCCCAAATTTGCACAGAAGGTTCCAAATAAAAATATAGGCGAATGGTACAAAAAAAAATACGTGTGACACTCGAGGACTGCCGCGGTAAAGCTATTGCATAGCTTATCAACTTATGCAATTATAATTATTTATTTATTTTATTTATGCAGTATTTTTTTTCGTTGATATTAATTCAAGTATTTTCTTTGATGTTAATTCAAGTTACACTTTTTGAGCGTGGTGACCGATAAGAAAACAAATTCTTTTTCTTTTACTGAATAAATGTGAAGTTAATATTGTTTAAAATATTTTTATTATCTTACAATACATGTAGGTTATTCAGGAATTTTTATCATTGAAACTATACGTTATGGTAATTAACGAGTTTTTCCGACAAACGATAATTTTCTATAAAGTCTGTGTTTATTAAATACTCTAAATTCACGAAAGTTGCTAGCATGACGACGACTCATATAAATCCAAAGAATATGCTTCTTGCAATAAACTATATTATTGTTTAAAATAATTTTATTATCTTACAATACATGCAACTAGTCTACACGCATACGTCCAGTAGCACACACACAAACACCGTGCCGAAGTCTGCCGAATTGAAACGACGTTAGACGATGTTAGGTTTTGGGGTGTTAGGTTTTTTCCTTACGGAATTTCTTGATTCGGTCGCCGCGCTCAAAGCCCGCGATAAAATCTATGCAATAGCTTAAAAACACTCAAACATTACGTCCTTTTTACGTGGTAATTCATTATTTTAACTGAATGTGATTCATAAATATTTAACGCCTACTATTTTACTACGCACGCACACATTCGTGAGGGTCGCTCGGTCGGCAAAACGTGAATCGAATCGCACACAGAGGAGCACGCGTACGCGTAGTTGTTGCCCATAAATCGCATTCAATTTGGAATAATTTCAAATAAAAGTATAAGTATTATTTAGTCGTATTTTCAAAAACTGCAATAATGGTATATCATTTGTTAATATTTGAATTTAATAAAAAATTAGATACTCTTAGAAAAATAACCCTGTATAGAAGTGACGTAAATAAAGCATAGGTTACCTTAATGCTGACGCTGTGTATGTCGGCAATAAGGATTTCCGCCTGTTCGTCGTGAAGCTTGACCGCGAGATTCGCACCGAGCAACTACTGCGCCCACGCCAGATTCCAAGACTTGATCGCTCATTAAACTACAAATTTAATAAAGGTATTACAATAAATAATTCGTCAACCGAGGTATTTCAAATGCCAATTCACTAAACTTCTGGTTCTTGACCATAAGGTCAACACAGTTTAATGTGGCACTTGGTCAGGGTGATTAAGCAAAGGTTGCAGGTGTTAGGGTGCAGGTTAAAGGTATAATTTCGCATACCATGTAGTTTGGCTAACGTTTTAAGCCGGAAAACGGTGAAATGTTGCTTCGCAGCAGAAATAGTCATGAATGTTTTTATAAGTAAGAGAGATAAACAAACGATAGGTATACGTGCGTATACGTAACTATTTATACGTGGTAGAGCCACGCTGCAGTTATGCTATAGTTGTAGCACGAATGGGTCAGCTCGGGTACGACCACGCTCTTATAGAACACCAAAGTAAAATAGCAGCCTAATGCTGCTGTTTCATATGGTGAGTGTAGAAAACCGGAGATCCTTTTTACTGGAAACAAAGTATTCCATCTTAGTCATCTGGGGTGTTTTGATTCTTAATCGAGGATAAGTGTGTCTATAGTACCTAGTCGTTTGTCACCCTTATTCTATAAAAGAGGTAAGATTTTATGTATTCGGTTTACTCACTTAGCAGCAGTTTCCTTAGAAGTCCGTATGCATTTAGCTAATATCTTGACCTCCATGAATCGGTCTGTGTTCACTAAATATCTAGCGACATGCGTGTATATGTTCATTGAGTCGAGCTTGTGTTCTGTAATAATTCTGCAAGAAAAAGAGAACAATATAATAATTAATCAACAATAACACAAGGTAAAACTATTAAATATAGTGGCTATATGCCCCGTTTCTCAAGGGAAATTATATCCGGAAATTACACACATAAAGATAAATTTAAGAAGGTGATTCACATTAAAGACATCATCTCCTTTTTCTACCCTTAAGGGAAGAATTTTTCTCCAAATTTCAGAATCATATATCTCTGGTAAGAAGAAAATTAGTTAGAATATTATAATCTGTATATATCCAAATTTATATGGTATCACCCTTGAAGAATAACCCATTTGAAGCCGAAGATATACAAAAAAATTAACATACAGTCGAATTGAGAACCTCCTCCTTTTTTGAAGTCGGCACACCTTCACCCAATAAATTCAAGGTATCCCAATCCAGAAAACACATGGCCCCACAAGAATTAGGTTGAAATTCAGAAGGGATATTTTTGACTGATTACAAAGAAAAATTTCATTATCGGCTGAATATCATTGTACTAAATTAAATGTTGAAAGGTGACTGCTGTGCAAATAATGCACATTGAAATTATAAAAACAAATCTTACAGATCAGTTGTAACTCTTAGCGATTTTTATTTATTTACATTAACTAAAAAAGAGTTTGGAAGAAAAATCTGCGAGTAATGATTAGTTCAAAAGCGCGATTTCTATTTAGACAGAAAATCTGAATTTATTTTCGGCTGCACAAAACTTTTTTTGTAGCATTGTGTGACAAACGAGCACACAGTGTCCACCTGATGGTAAGTGGATGCTGTGGCCCATAGACATCCACATTTATCGTCATTTAAGAATCAAAAAAATGCAAATGCGTTGTCACCCCTGGGGACTAAGATGGAATGCCTCAATTCCAGTAAAAAGGGGTCTTCGGTACTCTTAGTCTCAACATACGAAGCACAACAGCCTTACGCTGCTATTTTACGCCTTGGTCGATCCGACCCATTCGTGATACTACTATGATATAGATGCAGCGTGGCTCTACCACGTAAAATAAAATAAAATAATAACTAACCGATCTGAAAAATATTATTGAAAAGGAAAAATGATTTTAGTACTTTTTATAGTACTTGGCCTCCATCTCTAGAACTCGTTTAACTACCTTTCTTATTTGTAAAAAGTTCAGCAGTTCCCGCGACAGCCTATAAAAAGCACTACTGAATGTAGGTCTCCTCCATGGTTGCCACGCTTGGCAGGGTTATTAATTATAATAATTATATTAATGGGTGCGTTTGGCAGAAAAAAGCGCTTGTAAGCAATATGGCGAAACTAAACAGTTTTCGGTCAGGACACGTTTGCTAAATTCAGTAGCGCTGACACAATCCGCCATTTTGCTTATTTAATTTGTTTGTTTTGGAGTAGCGTTTATAAGTTGTTTTGTGCAATATTAGTTTTAAGTAATATAATGACATAAATATACAGATACATGTTATTAAAAATTCATGATTGGTAAGTTTTTAATAAGAATACTTTACAAACATATATTTAAATCAGGTTAGGTGCCCCGGTTAAAACTAACTTCGTGTCCTAGAGGAAAATAGCTACTTACGATTTGACAGCGCTTACCGCTTACGATCGCCATTTTGCTTACAAGCGCTTGCTAGCGCTTTTTTTTGCCAAACGCACCCATTGTATTTATTTTGAAAACAAAATAATTTAAGCTGCTACTGTAAAGTAATGAATCCATACTTAAACGCCAAATCGAATCCTCCTTCTATGGTTTCTCCTGTAGCGAGCACAGCAGCCACAAGCCTTATTTTGTCCGTATTAGATCCGAATAGTGTCAGTGGTCTAAAGTCATTGCTCTCGTCATCTTTACGATTGCTTTGAAATGGAATGACTTCATGGAGAACTTTCTCATTTAATCTGTTGCTCGCTTCGCACGCAGCTAAGTACTTTGCAAGTTCGATCTGTCTGGTTACTGTTGTAATTAAGTTGTCTATTGTTGCCTTGTCCAGGTTGAACTGAAGTGATTTTGGATCGTTTAGCTCTGGCAAGAAAAATAAATGGTTAAAATACGATATATACATAACCTAGAGTCTCTCTTTTTTGATCTTTGCATCCATGACTAATCTTATTCCTCTTGAGATTATTGTAAAAATAATGATTATTCTTAAACCTAAGTAAACCGCCGTTAAATAAAAATACAGCATCGAATGATCAGTTCTTTTAGTCCTGCTATTCTTATTGCAAATAAATGATGGTTGATAACCTTAAGTTAATCTTTACCCAATATAAAAGAATCAAAAGAATCCGTCTCGTCCTATAGGCGTCGGAAGAGTTTTCTAAAGGAAAAACAGGGAATTTACAGTGAATACCAAAAGGTGGCAGTATAATCATCTCTTATAAGCCAGATATGATATACGTAGTTAGTTTATACTAAATCTATTATATATGTAGACTCGCGACGGTAGCACAGTTAAAGGCGTAAGACGATTGGTACTGCGATTATCAATTCGCCTGGCAAGCGTGGGTTACTGATGGCGTGTTTACGAGCTAGTTTAAGAAAACAAAACTGCTTCAAATTCTGTTGATAGCGAATGCTGAGATACGCTTAGCAGTTGTTATAGGAGCAGGACTCGTGGAAGCAGTAAACACTATAATTATTTCTGAATTATATTCCATCTACGTCCGAATACAATCTGGGCATCTTATTGTCTTATTGTATTTACCATCTGGATCTTCATAACAATTTACCACCAAATGGGAAATTGAAGTTTCTTTTTTATAAGGAAATCGCGATCGTTAAACATACAGAAAAAAAACTATAATTTAGGTATAGGATCATTTTTATTAAACATATTATAGGGGAATGTAAGACCCTTTTCACGAAATGTCTAAATCACCTGTCTCTATGGTATCTACATACAGATGGTATAACCGTATCCAGACTCACTGTTGATTGATGAATGAAGCTCTGACGATGAACTAACGACGGAAACCCATCTAAGACAAATGATCAAAATCTTATTAGCCGGTAGGGGTTAGCAGCATTACCAGAACAATTGTATCGACTGTGTGCTTACCAACCCACCGGCACCATGTAGTGAGCATGGACAACATTTTGAAAAACATCTATTTTCTTAAGCCTACGCACATTTTTTATTTCTATTGACTTACTTTCACGGCGGCATCATTTAAATGTAGCGTTATAAAAACTGTTAGACAAACTTAATAAAACTTTCTTATACAAAACCCGTCATATTATTTTTATAGAAAATTAGTCGATCAATCCTATGGATCGTATACTCCTTAATTTACAAAATTGATTTAGACTGATAAATTAAAGAAAAACTAAGATTTTTTTTCGATACACGATTTACGATATGCTAACTTCGGAAGCTATTATGTAAAAATTATTTTATTCTTTTTAGTTTTTAAGTTCGGCTTAACTTTTTAATAAAGAGTTAACTTTTTACGCTATTAAGTGAGGATATAAAATTTCTAAATAGTCAACAATAAAAACATAGCTCCTAAATCTCCAGCGGTATAAAATATTTAAAAAAAATTATTTAAATCCGTTTCCGAGAAATCGTAGAACATGCATAAATAACATTTATGTAGACAAATATAGAATCTTGTGTGTTGAAATCGTGGTAAAGAAAGTGAAATTTAAATATAGAAAACATCTCATCGTTTAATTGATGGTTCGAAAAGGTTTTTAATACGCAAACGTGGTACGATTTTTCGTATTAAATGTATGTACATGTCAACTATTAGCGGAAGCGATATAACAAGTGTTTTGATAGTGATATCATTCTCAGGTACTTTATTCGTTCAGGGGATTCGAAATATTATTTTCACCAACTATCCTGGCTCTTTTGTAACGCATCAGCATCTTGTGAACGAAATACAAATAAGACTAGGCTGTATGGTATAAGACCTTTGCCTGCCTTAATCGGCAAATCGCAACAACTATCTAAAATGAGCAGTGCACTGTATACTCACTGGTGGCGGTAGGCACGCACTGTCCGAGGTGGTGCAGCGCGGCGACGAGGTGGTGGTGGCGCGCCTGCAGCGCTTGGTGCGGCGGCGCGCCGGGCGGCGTGCGGCGCGCGTACAGCAGCGCGCACGTGGCCGCCGCGCGCGCCTGCTGCCCCGTGCCGCACTGCAGCGCATACAGTGCCTCCAGCCGCTTGCTCATCTCCAGTGTGCGGCAGATGTGCATTATGTACTCCTGCCAAACACTTCCATGTATACTACTAGACGAGCACTACGGCACTAATACTACTTCTTTAGGCGACTGCGAGCGGCCGAGAAGACTACTTCCTTGTTTCTTAAACTGCGAACGTTGTTTTCGATAATCTAACACTAATTTTGTGAAATCGGTGTCATTGTTTATGTGTGCACTTTGTTAACGTGTATACGTAACGCTTATTTTGTATTTGCCTAAAAACATGTCGTAAACAAAAATACAACTGAGCGAAACAGTTACCACACCAGCTACCCGGAAGAGCGCACCCGCGCACGCATCTAAAAAAATTAGACACTAAAAGTAGCAAATTCAAATTATACTTATAGTAACAAAGTAGAAAAAAAAGTATAATATAGTAATGGCGGGTGTTCGACTCGCGATGATGTAAATAATGTGTGCGTGAGGCATGTTTATAAAAACGGTCCGGCTTTTATTATATATTTTACGTGGTAGAGCCATGCTGCAGTTATATTAATAGTATAGTTGTAGTACGAATGGGTCGGCTCGACCGGGGAAGGACCACGCTCTCACAATACCAGCGTAGAATAGTAGTTTAAGGCTGCTGTGTTTCGTATGATGAGTGTAGAGAACCAGAGACCCTTTTTACTGGAAACGAGGCATTCCACCTAAGTCCTCATGGGTGACATGGTATCTGCATTTTGTTTCGTAATCGAGGACACATGTCATGACATGTCTCTGGGCCACAGCAACCACTTACCATCAGGTGGACTGTCTGCTCCTTTGTCAACCTATTCTATAAAAAAAGAGGCAAACGAGCATGCGGCTCACCTAATGGTAACTACCGCTGCCCATGAACAACTGCAACACCAAGGGAATTGCAGGTGCATTGCCCGCCTTTTAGAAAGGAGTAAGCTCTTTTCTTGAAAGTCCTGAAGTCGTATCGGTCCGGAAAAATCACCGGTGGTAAATAATTCCACAGAGAAGCTTTACAAGGATGACAACTTCTAGTAAACCACACAGTGTTGGACCGCCACCAATTTAAATGCTGTGAACCTTTATATATATTCGAAGTAGCTATGTTTGTAAGGAAACATTTTAGCATATTTGAAAACGCTAATAATAAACGACATAGGAACAAACTACGTACAAAACCTAATAAAACAGCCCTGTATTCAAAAAGTTTTCTGGGTATGGCTCCTAAAATTTTTAATAAACTCCCAAAAAACATCAAAGAAACTGATAATATAGACAAAGTTAAGAAATTGCTTTCGAGTTTTTTAATAAATAAAGCATACTACTCTATCAACGAATATTTTGAAGATAAAATGAATGGTTTTTAGTACCTACAATAATTAATGGACGATTTATTTATTATATTTTTATATTTATGTAGTTGATAATTAAGATACCAATTATAATTGAAATTGTTATTTTATTAAAAATTAATTTTCATATTGCCAGGTGATAGTGATAAACAAATATTTGTATGGCTTTTTAGGCGAAACATAGTGTTACTTACTTATCATAACTTTTCCACCAAGTTTGTAACTTTTTACCTATGTTTTACAAATAAAGTATTTGATTTGATTGATTTAAATGGTATCGTGAATTTTGTTCATGAAATTTGGCGGCTGGAATTAAACAATTCATCAGAGCACTCCCCGTGGTAGTTGCGATAGAAAATGCTTAACTTGCAAATGCACTGGCGCTGCGCAGTGCCAGTGACTGGAGCCAATCAAAAAAAAAAAAAACTCGGCCGTCGACGATTCGAGCCGCTCTGCGCTGGATGCGATCAAGTGGAAGGAGCTGGCACTGGGGTGTCCCGGCCCAGAGATGAGAACAGTATTCCATGTGAGGCCGAACTTGCGCTTTGTAAAGTTACAAGCGATGAGCCGGCATGAAATACTGTCTCACTCTGCTGAGCACACCAAGCTTTTTAGAGGCCTTCCCCTCAAAGTGACCCCGAAACTGCACACTATTCGATATGTCGACGCCGAGGATTCCGATGCTAGCTGAGGAAGCAAGGGGAGTGCCTTAAAACTGAGGAGATACGACAAAGAGGTTCTTTTTAGTAGTAAACACACAAAATCGTGTCTTCTGGGGATTGAACGGGACTAGGTTCAGTCGCCCCCAATCCGAGTCTTTGTTCGAAAGACTCGACTTCAGACACAAGTTTGTCCCGGTACTCGGCGACGTTTTCCCGAGATATATTGGCACGGCCGGTGTATAAAGCATCACCAGTGCTGTCGTCCGCTGGTAAACTGGTAACATTTATTGTTGCTATGCAGAACAATAAATGTTACCAGTTTGCAATGATGTGCAGAAGAAACAGCTTGGTGATAGCGCCCAGCTTTGTGGAACACCAGCTTTAATAGGCTTGTAATAAGAGCATGCACCGTCTACTACGACCTTGATGCACCGATCAGCAAGGAAACTGGTGATCCAATTACACAATTTCTCGGGAAGGCCATAGGAAGGTAGCTTTGAAAGATGTGCGTTGTGCCAAACCTTATCGAAGGTCTTCGCTGTGTCCAAACTAACGGTCAATGTCTCCCCCTTGAACTCTACTGCCTCCGTAAAATCTATGAGTCAGCTAGACCAGAAGATCACCAGCTGATCGACCCTGATGAAAACCGTATTGACGGTCACTAATCGAATGGTGATCCTCAAGGTACCTCATGAGTGGGTTATAATGGATTCCATTATTTTGGAGAACAAGGCGATGATTACGATAAGCCTGTAGTTGGACAGGACTGAGCTGTTTCGTTTTTTAGGGATCATGTGGACCAAAGCTGTCTTCCATGAATTCGGGATTACGCCTTGGGAGTAGGAGTACCGGAAAAGAGGCGTTAATACCGGTGCCAACTTCTGAGCACACGTCTTCAGCACAATGGGAGGGACTCCATCAGGCCCACTCGACACGTTGACGTCCAGACAGAGGTGTGTTTTGTGAACCGAGAGCTGTGTGAACCGCACATCCGCATGGCACGGAGCATTAACACCGTGGGATGGTCGGCGGTTTGTTCCCTCCGTCATCGAGAGTCGAGTTGGACGCTAAAAGAGAGCCTAACAGATCGGCATTCTACTTAGCGGTATGAGCCAATGTGTCCCTCTGTGCAGAGATGGAAGAGATAGATAAAAGAAGTTCCCTTGGAAAGTCTTGGCAAGAGACCAGAATTCACGGGCTCCCGAAGGAAGGTGAACTAGCTTCTCGCCAATTCTGCCGATGTGCTCTGACCTTGCGTTTGCAATTACTCTTTTGCAGAACCTGGAGGCGGAATTATACTTATTTTTAAGGGCGCCGGCTGGTATTTATATGCCGAGACGTTGATGCGTCAGCCCAGGCTCGCCCCGGCCCGGCCGCGAAGTTTTTTTTTATAGTCCGTGAGTGTAGTTCTCTATTAATAACAATGTCAACCAAATTGGGTAGTTAACATTATCATTTATATTATAGTATAACGATATTTATAAAAATTACGTGTCACATTGTTTGTTAGCGATGAACTTCTAAACTACTGAGCTGATTTCAATGAAATTTCCACACTGTGTGCAGTTTGGTCCATCTTCAGAGAAAGGATAGTTTTTATCCCGATAAGTGACCCCCAATGTTTTTATTACGAAAATAAGGCTTTTTTTATAGGACAAAGGTTTGTCGGAGAGGGCAGAACAATGCCTGCCTGGCTAGCTAGTAATGATATATTTTCCTTTTTGGCACTGAATAAACATATTATAGTAAGAATATGAGTCATTTTGACCCAAAATACAGAATTTGTGAATAACTGGACTACAGCGTCACCTATCGAATCGTCGCATAGCAAAAAAGAAAAATATTACCTTCGTTCTGATATCAGCAACTATTATAGAAAATAATTACTACAACAAATCTTCTTAGTGTCTTAACTTGGTCATTTATCCCATCGATCCATCCATTACAGCGTATAAAAGTCCACTGCTGAACATAGGCCTCCCCCATAAATTGCCTCACAAACGGGACTTTGCCATAGTTGCCATGCTTGGCATGCGGGTTGGCAACCGCAGCTTTTGTTATTTCTAGTTGCTGCTGCCCATTTCCTGTTTCAGTTTCCCTCTGCCGCCTCTTATGACACCGACGGGACGATTGGAGGTAGTGGATATTTTAACATCGGCACTACACGGTAGAGAGCCGTGGTAGCTCAGTGGTTAACGCTCGCTGTAAATATAACAGAACGCGAGTAACCCGGGTTCGATCCCCGCCGGCACCAATGAAATTGTTAATTGCAATTTTAAGTGCTGATTTACCACGTGCTCGGCGGTGAAGGAAAACATCGTGAGGAAACCTGCATGTCTGAGGAGTAGGAAAAAAATATTTCGAAGACATGTGAAGTTCGTCAACACGCATTTGGGCAGCGCGGCGGACACTTCCTTGCCCTAAACCCTCTCAGAAATGAGGGGAGGCCTGAGCCCAGCAGTGGGACGTATATAGGCTGTAACTTACTTACTTACTACACGGTCATTTATCTATTTCGTGTTAAATTGGCTTTTTATAATTGAAAAATGTACAAATAAGATGTTTATTTGATGACAAGAAACTATGACGTTATTTACTTGTAATAAATCATTTAAAAAAAATGTTGTCAACTAATAAGGACTAATAACCAGCCAGCCACATGGTAAAAACTTTTTTTTTGGATTTTTAAAAACTCAAAATGTATATTAATTGTTATTGAAATTTAGAGTTTTAGAAAAACAGTTATTTTAAATTTTCAAGCTCAAATGGCATTCCTTGGGGGAGGCCTATGTTCAGCAGTGGACTTGTAAAGGGCTGTTATGATGATGATGATGATGATGATGATGAAGCTCAAATGGTTACTGCATGGTAGAGGAACATCAAATATTCTTTAAATAACAATCATACGATTAGTTTGCAAGATTAGATAACTCACCGCCCACATCTCCAAAGTACTGTCCATATCACTCATAGCTTTCAGAAGTTCGTTGACTTTATCTTTTTTGAGGCATTCCATGTAAACGGTCTCCGTGAACGTCTCTTTATCGACCAAGTTATCGTAACAATATCTTATAACTTCGGCCATGTCGCTGTGTTTCATATAAAACATTATATTGGCTACATGAGAGCCATAGTTACTCAGATAGTACACACATTCTTTGTAAAAGAATGGGTCCAGTCTTTTGTGTTGATGGTCTACTTTGGGCTCGCTGTGGTTGTTATTCCGTCTGAGGAGGCCCTGAGCCAGTGTCTTCTTTGGTTGGACAGTTGCAGTGCAGAAATCACTGTAATCTCCTTGTTTAATCTTCTTTACGCTGGCGAGAATATGCATAATGTTCAGAGCAGGTTCCGTTACAGGTATCTTCTTTTTGCTGGCATTCATAATAGCTAACTTTTCGTTAGTGTTCTGAAAATAAATAGCATCCTATGTTAACAATGTAGTGGCATTTGTAAAATAAGACCATTACGTCATTATTTTTCCAAAGTACCTTAATAAAAAAATTGGGAACTTCCATTTACAAAACATAATTTTATATAATTGTTATTAATAAATAATCCCAAACAATATTGGCTATATCAATTAAATTATTGTAGCTTCAATGTTTGTGTAAGAAAATAAACAATCGGATTACTCGCATTGGTAATTTGTAGAAACTAGTAAAATGTCGCTTTATGTAATCATAGGTTTTTTTTATAGGATAGCGTGACAAACGAGCACACAGTCCACCTGATGGTAAGTGGTTGCTGCGGCCCACAGAGATCTACATGTATCCTTGATTACAAATCAAAATGCAGATGCGTTGTCACCCGTTAGGACTAAGGTGGAATGCCTCGTTTCCAGTAAAAAGGGTCTCCGGTTCTCTACACTCACCATACGAAACACAGCAGCATTAAGCACATGACGCTGTATTCTGTGAGAGCGTGGCCCTTCCCCGGTAGAGCCGACCCATTCGTGCTACAACTATACTACTAATATAACTGCAGCATGGCTCTATCACGTTATAAACATTTTCGACATTTTTGTTTGAATGTTAGAAATTTTTGTACCGATATTTTTAAAATTTTATTTACTTTTGGACAAAAACAATACCTTAATAGTTTCGGCCTTGTGAAGCAGTTGCTGATTGACGGGATAGTTCATATCTTCAAGCATGCTTATGATTTCGTTTAGTAACGGCGGATTTAGTCGGCTCCTTCCATCAGACTGTACGCTTGTCATTGATCCCGACCTTTCAGAGAGCTTCATACTATGTACTCGCTTATTCACAAGCTGGCTTTCCGATGCCTCCTTGCCGTACTCGAATTCCTCATCAATGGATACGTTCAGGGTACTTTTGAAGCAATGCGCGAATTTCTTGCGAGCTTCTTTGAAGCAGCCTGCTTTAAGGCATGCCTTTCCCCATGCCGCTAAGACGCTGTTTCTAGGAATACCCGACTTTGTCGCTATTTCCAAGGCCAATTCCCATTTTTCAGCTTCTAACAACGAACGCACTATTTGACCTATAAATATTAATTTATTATATATGCCATAAATTACAATTATAATTATTTATTTTAATCACTTAATAGTAGAAATCATCTGAAATCTGTATTATTTACTATAATCAGTCACAAGAAAGAAAAAAGGAAAAGTAAAAATACAACCTATATACGCCATATAAAATACGCCCTACTGCTATCCAGTCTTCTTATTTCTGGGAGAATTTTCAAGGGCAGCACGAGTGCGCTGCACTGCTCTAAAGCGTGTTTGTGACCTTCACGTAACTTAGAAATCTTTTTTATCTTTTTTTATTTCCTAGATATGCAGATATTCGGGTGTTTGCCTTCTCCGCCGAGCACGTGGTAAATCAGCATTTATAACTGCATCTAATGGTTGAGTGGGATAAAATGCCTTAAGGCATTAATGTCCGCCATTTGTACGAGTTTGTTTTTATACATATAAGTAAAATAATAAACTAATAGACTGCATAAATAAAATAATAAACTGCAACTAACAATTTCGTTGTTGCCGGCAGGGAATGAAGTCGGTTTACTGATACTGAATACATGTTCTAGTCTAGACACAAAATATAGAGCTCATACGCCAACCAATAAACCTATGTTCAGAGGTAGGATTTAATAGGCTGTAATGGTAGAAAACTAGATCAGACCAACACAATGTTCACAAAACTATAATTAAATTGTGTTTCTTTTTTTTAATTTAATTGTAATTATTTGAATTGTCGGCGTAAGATAATCCACTACCCCATATCGTGCCGTGCATAGAATACTATAATACGCAATAGAATGGCTGTCAACGTTATTTTGTACGAGGTTCGGCGTCGCCGGGAGCACACATACAAGCAATTACGTCGTATTATCACTACTACAAACCCGATTCTCTGTGTTGACAGACAGATTTTAACACATATTTATTTGTAAACAGCGTACAATTTGGCATTTTCTAAATAATTTGCATGCGAAATTTGGATGTGTGAATTGACGTATTAGTGACATCTTAGTGGCTACACGGGCTCCGCCCACTCCCCCGTTCTATTATGTATGTATTATAGTATTCTATGGTGCCGTGCGTGTGGTAAGAGAACAGAGGGAAACGAAACAAAGAAATTCAGCAGGAAATGAGATATGCAGCAGTATCTTCCTGATAACAACTCAAAATAGTAAACCACGGTTGCGAACCGCAAATAGTATGCTGCAAGTGGCAAATGTTATGAGGCAATGTATGGGTACCTATGTTTACCAGTGGAGCTTTGATGGGCTGTAATGATGGTGATGATGAATAGAATAGCATCATTTTTAATCAAAACAGATTGCAAAAATACTTATTAAAAGTCACTTAGGCTCAATTTACACTGCTGCGGCACGGAATGGAAGCGAATTTTTCTAACGAAATTGTACATAGTAAAATGAGTCTTATGTTGTGTAACACGCAAATTAGATATGAGCGAAAAAATAAATCGCACGTCTTCTGGGGAATTCTCGAGGATTCCCGTAGCTACTGTCGGCGAAGTCTGTGGAACTCGCGGGAAGTGGCGCGAAGGGCGTGGAATCTATGCTAACTTTTCCGCGAATTCACGCACCTTCCCGCGCCTCATGTCGATATCGACGCTTTCGTTCCATTCGATTCCGCCGCAATGTAAATTGAGCCTTAAGTTTTACCACTAGTTCGGAAAGAACCTACGTCCTGGGAAGAACCAGCAAGAAACCTAGCGGGACGTTTTTGATGATGTATTGTATACTGACTAGGGTGGGCGTGGTGGTGCGGCATGAGGTGGTGCGCTTGGTGCTTGACGAGCGTGGCGATGGCGTCCGCGTGCGCCAAACAGCGCGCCGCGTGCGCCGCGCCCGCCTCCCACACGCGCGCCCCGCCACTGCATCACACGCAATGAGCGCTTGGTTAAAGCTATCCGTACAGTGTAGGTAACTGTGTAGTCGCAGTGTGAGAATATTCACTGCGCGGGTGTCGTAAATGGCGATATAAAGAAACTCAAACAACAGAAGATGGGTAGCAGCAATTATAAAAAATTGCGGTTGCCAGCCACTCCTATGCAGTTTTTTTATAGGATAGGATGACAAACGAGCATAAAGTCCACCTGATAGTAAGTGGTTGTTGTGGCCCATAGACATCTACACTCGTTGGTCTAGTGGTTGTAGTAGTACGACTGCTGATCATGAGGTCCTGGGTTCGAATCTCGGGTCGGGCCAAAAAATAATTATCGAGTTATTCCGTCAAGAAATTCTCAGTATAGTTCGGCCGTTCAGAGAATACGATCCTGACACCTATCAGTTAGTCACGACTAGTGATGGGCACATCATAACACTGAGTTCGTTACCGTTCCTCCAAAATGAACCGCCGCGTTATTATTAAGATTATTTTCGTTTTAAATTGGCGAAATCATTTAAAATTTATATTTTAGTAATTTAAGTGGAAACCAAAAAAAGGTAATATTAATATAATTAAACATGTTTTATTTATTCTTTGTTACAAAGTTACAATCTGTATTTCTATGCAATAAAGTACATTGAATTGAATGTGCGTACAGAATATTAATCAGACTCCGATTCGCTTGAGGAGGTGGTGTCTTCATCATCATCTTCGCCTACATGTATAATTATATTATTATCAATAACAAAATCTCGGTCAAAATGTTCCACAATCAGGTTTTTAGTCTTCTCAACCACCTTTGCCCAGTCATCTCTTGTGACTTCCTCGCAGGCTTCTTTTAATAGGGTCATCATCTTTTTCGTGCTGAATGGCGGGGAAGTATTGTGGCGGGCGGCGTAACCTTTTATTTGAGCCCAGATTAGCTCAATCGCGTTATAATGGCAATGATACGGTGGAATTATTAGAACGCGATAACCGTACTCCAGAGCCAGTTCATCGATTTCTTAACTAATTTAATTAGCTCTGGTTTTAGCATCTGCATATTTGCGTCAATGCCTTTTACTTGTAACCAAGCCACCATTTCTTCTTTTTTATTAGCTTGGGTAGGTGGTTTCTGTATTTGAACCGAGTGATAGGAGGCATTATACTTGAATATTACAGAGGCTCTGGTAGGCTGGGCAAAAGCACTTTCTGGAACCACTCTTTAAATGTAGTGGCATTCATTTCCTCGTGGTAGTCATTTGTGGTTTTTGATTGAAATGCCAGTAACGCGTTCTCCACAAATCCATATTTTGCAACCTGCGTGGCCTATTATCAGACGGGCCCCCCTTACCCATTGGTACTCTAAACGGCCGAACTATAGTAAGTCACTGACTCTGGGTCAGGAATTTGGCGGTATCTCACCCCCGTGCCTCGGAAAGCACGGAAAGCCGTTGGTCCTGCGCCTGATCTCTTTTCGGTCGTGTCGGTTTACCGTCCCAACGGATCATGAGAGTGAGGGAATAGAGAGTGCACCTGTGCTTGCGCATACACTTGGGCACTATAATCCTGTCCTGCGCCGATGGCTAGCCTCCGTTGAGGCAGGCCGCCGTGGCCGAAATTCGGTCTGGAGGACATTATTATTATACATCTATCCTCGATTGCGAATCAAAATGCAGATGCGTTGTCACCCGTAAGGAGACTAAGATGGAATACCTCGTTCCCAGTAAAAAGGGTCTCCGGTTCAGTTCGGTCAGCTGGTGTTCTGTGAGAGCGTGCTCCTACCCCGGGCGAGCCGACCCATTCATGCTACAACTATACTACTAATATAACTGCAGCATGGTTCTACCGCGTATAATAAATAGTGAACTTTTATAGGTATAGATAGATGGATAGAGACAGTGCGTACAACTTTCAAAGTAATTTTGTTTATAAATCCTGAAGTATCAACGAACTTACAGTCTGTTCAGATCACTGACGACGTTAAGGTTAAGTAAGCGGTAAAACCGGTCTACTGGTGGGTGCGGTTCGCTTGGACTGGAGCGAGTGAGCTAACGAACTTTGCACCGATACTACGCGCGGGCGCTCATATATCATTTTAAATTTGCACATACTGTATCTTTTAGTTCCCAATTATACCAGTTTTTATAGAATTACAGTCATTTGTTTAGCCCTACAACATTAACCTCGCAACCTCCAAGCGGTCTCATGAGACCGCGGCCATATTCCGTCAAATCCCTAGCGGTCTCATGAGGTCGCATCCACCCACAGCACTTTAACCCATAAAAACTTATATATAGAGACTACTTTTCTATGAAGAAGTTTGGCATTATATAATCAGTATGAAATACATAGGCTATTTCAGTTCCTCTAGTGCAATAAAAAAACTTTTTTATAATCTACGTTTTCGCCTGAATGTTATTGTTTTGATTTTTGGATTTTTCTAGTGTGTTATTATAAAATTGTAATGAAAGTTTTTGTATGAATATAATTTATCTTTTTACGTAAATAATTTCGAGTAATATATATTGAAATAATTGAGCTTTTCACGATGCCGACATTTGCTTGGTATATTTTTTTTAATCAAAATACAATAAAATCTTTTTGTAATAAAGTAAAACCTGACTTTTGTTTAGATCATAAGATAGAGAATTTTGTATAGATTTTATAATGCTAAACTTCTTCATAGAAAAGTAGTCTCTAAATATAAGTTCTAATGGTTTTAAGTGCTGTGGGTGGGTGCAGTCGCTTGCGAGCGCTCGGGATTTGCCGGGCGCATGCGACTGCACGGAATTTTTATGGCGCTTGAGGGTTAAGAACCATACATATCGTGGCGCCCGAACAGGGACATGAGCCACTCCTACACAAACAGTGCAGCCAACTTCAAATAAAGATGTCTACAGCTGCGTTGTCACCTCTGAGCACTTAAATGAAATACCTCACAGCTTCTAACTATACTGGCTTTCTCTACCTTTCAGACGGAAAACGGAATCAATTTTTAATGAAAGAAGCTTTAACATTGAAAAAATTAAAAGAAGTGCAAGCACTGTCCCGTCTGCGGCAGAACTTCAAGCATATTTTGGTACATATTCCATTTTGTTTTCTTGACTAGGCCGCAAACTAGTTAATCCAACCTCGTACTCACGATTTCTCTTGCAGTGTTCGCGAATACAGCTCCGCAGCAGCAAGTAGTAAGGACCGACGCGCGCGCACTAGCAGGCGTGCGTCTCCACCTTTTGTTAACTCGCGTGCAACTTCATCGCTTCGATCCAGCAAAAACCTGCAAATCATACTTATTGAAAAAAGGAAAAATTTATGTTTTAAAATGTTATTTTATTTCAAAATAAAATGTAAGAAATATATATAAAATTTTTTGTTGACAATTTTAATCATTATTAATATTATTAAAAATGTTATCATACCTCGGATAATCCAAATTTGTCGAATGCATCTTCATAATCGTAAGGCACAATGTGACGTTTGGTGTGAATTCATAGCTAAATTCCGTTCGAACGGCTTCGTTCTTTTTCGAATTTGTGGAGAGACACCAATCCATACACGTGATGCCACTACCGCCCGAATCTGAGTTGCTGCTCATTATCAAATTGTCTTGCTCTGAGTTTGATCTCCTAGTCATTGTTTGTGTATAGCAATCGTCGCATACGCGAAATTTTACACCGCTGGGATATGTTGGAACCTGAAAGAATTAATTATATTACCTAAAGGTAAGATTGGCATCATAAATTTAATTTACATTAAAGACTAACTTAACAATTAACTACACCGACATGAGCTTATAATCTATAAGTATATCGAATATTGAATCCTAAGTTCAATAAGAAAAGAGTTTACAAAAGATTTCAACTACGGTTTGTGAAAGGAAAGACGGCGCATAGATAAAAATCTGCTTGAAAGACCTTAACAATATTACATATTATAAAATATTTCACTTACGTGCATTCGATGTCTAGAGCAAGCATGGCATACCAGTCTGCCACAACGTCGGCAGTGATGACGACGAATAATCATGGAGAATATCGATATTTTGCACATCATGCATCTGTCCGTAGTGTAATCTTCCACCCACTGTTCCTTAGTCGGAACTTGCTCGGGCATCATGAAGGGTTTAGACGCTGCTTCTAAATTAATCGAATCAATCGACTGCAAAAGAGAATCGTCCCAAGGTTTAGGTGGTGAAGGACATACGTTCCTTGGATTTTTCATATCTAAAGCTTTTTCAGCATAGTATCTTAACAAAGCATCTACAGCGTTTCTTGATATCACCAATGTTTCGATCGATTTAATGTTGTAATAAAGGTTATCCCCACTTGGATCTTTCTTAAGACTCGGAGCAATTTTGTTTATAATGTCGGTCAAAATTTCTAGTCTTCCATTCATTAAAAATTGTTCGATCATCAATAAGGGTTTCTCTATTAGTTCCCAAAAGAGATGCCTCATGTTTACATTTATTTCAAGCATTATCTGTAAGCCGATTTTAATGTTTTCAAATGATTTCCAATCAAAGGAATGTTCAGAAATGAAGTCAATGCACACTTTAAGTATTTCTACATTTCGAACTTTGGACATTTCTTCTTGAATAAGATCCATTGCCTGAGTGGCAGAGAGTCTCATTAGAAGTTCTCGGACAACGTCAGGGGTTGCTTGGTTCGTATATTCAAACAGCTGACGAAGTAGGTTCACAACAATCAAATTCTTCATATGTTCGGACACATTGTGAGCGTCTGCCCATTCTAAGCACAGTTTGAACTGGAATATTTTAACATTACATTATATTTACACAATAAAACAAATAAAAAAATAAAACAAAGCTTTCAACCAAACGTATAAAGTAAGATATAATATTATTTCCAATTAACATACGGGATTGTTACCTGTTGACTATCCATAAGAACATCAATTATTATTTCCGGATTTTCCATTGATTTTTCGTAGACTTTGTACCAATGGCCAACACCCATAATTGTTGCTATCTGAAACACATTGGTACATTTTTTTCGTAAGTTATTAACTTTAACTTAAGAATTAATATAGAAGCTAATTTTACCTGCTCATAAAGAGGTATTTTAAATATCCAATCAGTGCATTTCTCGTACAATCCTTCTTCAAAAGCAATAGGATCTAAAATGAATCTTAGATAGTCTAATACCTCTATAGCTCCAACCGCGGGCCAACAAGACAAGTTGTTTAGAATCAGATCTACTTTTAGTTCGGGACATTTTAAATGCTGGCAATATTTCCAGTTATTGCTTATCTTTGGGTTGGTGGCAAGTTTGAATAGTATCAAGTCTCTCAAATTCATTAGATTTGCACTGCACATCAGTTGTCTTTCTGATAATGAGTCTATAATCTTCAAACATTGCAGTATCTTCCCAGACTCCAACAATCTTGGCATGTATAAAAAGAGTTTATCCAAATCAACAGTCGTATGAAGTGACGCCAAATATTTATTACCGTTAAATAAAACTTTAGTGCATTCAAATCTTTCGAGGTCCATATATTTGTTCAAACACTTTGTACGTGCATCCATATTTTGTTGCACGTTGCTGTCACTAAGAGTTGTATGAATTTTTTTAATAATATGGGCTAGAACCCAATTATGTAAAACGATGTATGTTAGACATTGTGGATCAGGTGACCTAGGCAGTGGTGCAAAATTAGTAACAATTTCCAGAAATAAGTTCTCTTCAGGATTTTTAAAATCATACACAACCTGTAACAGGTTGTTGAAATTCTCTTCATTAGCCTCTTTATGAGGTCCAACTAACGTAATCGAGGGACAAAAGTTCAATATAAGCTTAGGTATTAAATTAACATTCAACTTTTTACAAATGGGTTCCAAATATGTTACAGGAATATTTTTGTTGTTGATCATGTTCCCGAATATATCATGAAGATGTCTTTCTAATATGAAAAAATAGGGCGCGTCTGCAACAGACTCATTTGAACGATTATCTTCCTGCTCCAACTGCGATACAGACTTCGCATACATGTAACACATTCTTAAATAATGCACCCTGGTTTTCTTATTCCCATTATGTGATACTTCAGAAATGTTACAAATATCCTTGTCAGATGCAGCTACTACGTTCATATAGATCTGATGATATTTCTGCAGTAAATTTTCATCACATGCCGACGATCGATTCGGATTAATAATATCTTCGAGATCTTGACAGGACTGCCTCAATTCCTTTGAGAGTTGGTTTAGTTTACAAAATTCTTTATGCTTTATGGGTATTCGACAATCGGTTATGAGACCGCATATGTTGTCCACAAAATCGAATGATTTTTCGGTATTGCCAAATATTTCGAATGTGACGCTAGCGATGTCCTCCACGAAGCGTATGTAGTTAGTTTTCTTTACCGCAGCCACGTCAGTACTACATCGTACTTCTGCGAGCTTTCTTTCTACCACATTAATGAGGCCGTAGGTGATTTCTCTGTTTAAACCACTGCTCAACAAAATATCAACCGCATTGATAAAAGGCGCGTTTTGATGACTGTACAGTTGTAGGTGTGGATGGCGCGCAGCTAATTCTATTATATCAAAAGAATTTGGCGCTCTGTTGGACGCAAGAAATCCTTCTACGAGACCCATGACCTCCGTTGATACGACGGACAGAGCTGATAACTCCTTGGATGGATAGCGTATGTTATCCCGGTAGCAAATAATATTTTTTATTTTTGCTACCAGATGCCGCAATTGCTCGGTGAATTGAACTTCTGTTGCTATTTCGGAGTCAGCTAAATCGAACATCTGCAAAACATTTATGTTATTTTATTATAGTGTAAGTCATCATTATAAATGTATGGCAATTTTTGTACCAAGTTTAAAAAATGGGAGGGTGGAAGGTTCAAAACTTGATTCTTTAAGTATCTAAAATAACATAAATCACAATATATCACATTAATTCTTTAATAGTAGACTTATTTAGAAAATTTGAAACATAATCCGTCTTATTACGAATTTTTTTAAATATTTTAGTTATTAATTAGCCTCAGGTTTAAATAAGTCTATTTTGGTAAAAAGTCCCGTGCAAATAATGCTAATTTTTAAAAAGACTGTGGTGAAGCGGCTAAGGGACTCCTTTCGTGACGAAGACGCTTCTTTAAAACAGGGATTGTCAAAATCAATACTTAATTTAACCTCTTTTACGTTCTGTAATATTTATTTATCGGTTCAAAATTTATCGAACTTAGTCAATCAAGTCGGCGAGAATACGACCCTTAAATTTTGTGCTTGGATATGGACAGAAAGCTAATGCGCCAAAGAGTATATTAATCACTACTTTAATGAGCATTTTACGTTTACGTACGATTATGACAATTCTCGTGACGTATATTCTGACGTAAAGCTTCAATAAAATTTAAAATTAAGAAGAAAATGGAAATTAATGTACTAAAATCCGCAGTGATCTCTATATTAGGAATTACCCAAGTAAACAGTCTTCCTGTTAAAGATTCATTTAACATTTTGATGAAAGACAGTGCAGTGTATTCGATTGATGAATTGTTAAATTCTAATGATTATGAAATGATTGGAATTAGTGATCAAATTTACAAGAAGAACGATATTAAAGATATGTTACACGATTTAAACAAGTAAATTTTTTTTGGTTAATTAAGGACTCATTTATATATATTATTAAGCGGCGGTGCGGTGTTAGAATATTTGCTGCCCCATATCGTCCCATTGGACGAGAGAGAGAGAGAGAGAGAGAGAGAAATAGACCAAGAAGACGAAGTTACGAAGCAACGTTTTCCTAATAACAAATAATCTCGCCAAGCATGGAAATCATGGCCAAACTTTGAGAATTCAATACTCAAATTGGCCAAAACCCTCCCAAAAAAGATCCGAAAAAAATCGTAAAAAGTGCGGTGATGAGTAAACTGAAACAAAGTTTACAAATCAAACAATTTAAACAAGAGATATATATATATATAAAAAAAAAAAAAAAATATATATATATATATATATTGCCTTTTTGCTGCATGGTTCAATAATAGCAGCACTTAACAATATACACTTTTTATTTAGACTATATGTTTTAGCTTAGCAAAAGAGACATATGAGAAAAAATTTAAAACGGCCTATACAGATGAATTGAGCAGTGAAGATATGGTTTTAAGAGAAAATATTGAATACGAAATCACGCCACTGGTAAAACACATAATAAGTTGGAAAGTTATATTACATTACATAAAGTTGTGCAACGTTCTTTATAGATTTATAAAATTTATGAGAAATATATTGGATGCAAATAATTTTATGATTTTTGTGACTATGGTTGCTCCCTGTATCATATATATGTCAAATCAATTAAAACTCAAAATCAGCCCTATGCTGCGAAAACACTTAAAACGATAGAAATTTTAAATAAGTTAAAACAAGACATACTAATTAATATCCGTAAAATTAATTGTATTAAAGAATTATTCTAAAGCTTTTCGCCACGCTCAACAACGGATTGGCGATCGCAGTCCAGAACCAGATGACTTACACCCTTGATGCTGCTCCATGTCACGTCGCTGATGTAAATATTTTTTATTTCTGGCATACAGAGATATGGTTATAATACATGAAAGCCATAATATATTCCTGGCATGTCTCATAGTTGCATTTTACGACACCCGAGAGACGAAAGTTATTTACAGACTCAATTATACCACACGACATGTTTTTATATTACGTATTCCTAGGGTTCCCAACCCTCCCGGATTTCCCGGGAGACTCCGGTAATAATGGTTGATCTCCCGACCTCCTGGGGTACAATAATTTCTCCGGGTTTTCTAAAAATTATATGCATCCGTCGCTCACACTCGCTTTTCGAAATCAATAAATAATAAATGTTGCTCGAAAGCAAAGTAAATATAAATTTAAAAATTAATAAATGATTAATATTTTCTTTCATTCCCATTACATAAAATTCTCCCCGGGTTGGTCTGTTCGAGAGTTGGTTACCCTACTCATTCCGATCCTTTCAAGAAATATTATATTGTTCTTTCAAGTTTCAGTTACCAAAACACTTCATTCACAAAAGAAATGCAGACCAGCAGGAGTTATATGATTATGACGATCTCATAAGTGAATACGTTGAATTGGATGATAAAGATATAATAACTAATGGTAAATAAATACACATTTTATATAAGAGCAATATGTTAACGTTTATTCACAGCCTTGTATATAAGAGAACTATAGTTATATATTTAGGGATATAACAGAATACCAAGAAGCCGATCTGTCTTCTTAAATTGTTTTAATTTATTATAAATATGCTATCAGCGAAAGTTATTTAGGAGACATGCACACAGGAATAGCGTTCCGCGTGTCCGTTTCGAGCCATGCAGTTATTGTTATAATAGCAAACAATCGTAGGGCCACGAACTTTAATACGGGCCCATTTCCTAAATATGTCTAAAAACACTCTTAATACAATAAGGTCGAGAGCTCCAAATCAATAGTGATATACGTATGATGTAACAAAGACGTTAATTAATACAGTTTTATTTATCACCTCCAGGTTCATGTGTTATTAAGTCACATATTATTATATATCTAGAGATATATTGAAGATAAACATTAGAGCAATTGCCACAGTAACATCAGTGCACAACGCGTTGTTAATACTAACATTACCAACTTACATGCTACATGTTAAAATAGTAGTTTGCTATACGATATTCAACCTTAAATGGAACCCAAATTAAAGTTCGTGAATGTATCAATTGCTTCTTATCTTTACATCATAGTGTATAAAATCGGTATAAAAACTCCTCGGCCAAAAGCGGTGGTTACAGTGCAAAAGAAATGCTCAAGGTCGTTAAGCAACAGGGACGACTTAACGCTCTGGCGGCATGGTGGACTCGGCTCTGTGAGGAGCGTTATGCGCATTAACGTGTCATCGAAGCAATCCTACCGCACTTTGATTCCTGCATTTAGTAACTGAGTGGAAGATTTACCTACCGACTTACACACATAATTACTAAATTTTGGTGTTTCGGTGAATATTTGTGTAATATCGCGAAGCAACGGCGAACTGCTTCCATTGGTGGAAGCGATCAGAATTTCGCGGCGGCCATGACGGTATGGTCAGCGAGGAATCGAAGCGACGGATGCTGGTGAGTAGCTCAGCTGATTCGGCGTGGAGGGCCGGTTCATTCTGTCATTCCGTGATGGTCAAGAAATAGGACGCTGAGCGAAAACGAGAAAACACTTCAGTTCAAGCGTCTGCACGCTCGTAGCCTCGCCTCCGTGCACCCTTCTACGAGCGTGCAGACGGGCCTCGTCATGGCCTTTATATTGTTACTGTTGATCCCGCCCTTTGGAGTCATTAAGCCCCGAGGGCAAGAATAATTCGAGATCTTTTTACATGGTAGAGCCATGCTGCATATATATAATGGTTGTAGCACGAATGGGTAAGTTTGACCGGGGTAGAACCACACACTCACAGAATACCAGCGTAAAATAGCAGCCTAATGCTGCTGGATTTCGTATGGTGAGTGTAGAGAACCAAAGAACTTTTTACTGGGAACAAGGCATTTCATCTCAGTCCTCAGGGGTGACAACGCATCTGCATTTTTTAAAAGTTAGTTAAACTTAAATCTACAGCCTATATACGTCCCATTCCTAGGCACAGGCCTCACGATCATTTCTGAGAGGGGTTTTAGGGCAAGGAATTGTCCGCCGCGCTGCCCCAATGCGGTGGCGAACTACACATGTCTTCGAAAATATTTTTTTAGATATGCAGGTTTCCTCACGATGTTTTCCTTCACCGCCAAGCACGTTGTAAATCAGCACTTAAAATTGCAATTAACAATTTCATTGGTGCCGGTGGGGATCGAACCCGGTTTGCTCGCGAACTGTGATACTGTGAAATTTACAGCGAGCGCTAACCATCTAAGCTACCACGGATTTTTTGATTCTTAATTCAGGATAAATGTAGATGTCTATGGGTCACAGCATCCACCTACCATCAGGTGGACTGTGTACTCGTTTGTCACCCCTATTCTATAAAAAAATATCATCGTAACAGCACCGAGGGTACTCAGGGGTACGTTAGCGTTTCTGGGCGGGCTAAATTTGCAGCATGGCGTTAGTGGGGACGCAGTTTTGTTTCACATTATGAAGATCTCATGACCCCTAGTTGACGCTGAGCGCGATCAACGCGGGTTTTTATTCGGTTACAGTCAGGCATAACCTGCCTGCTTTCTCCAGAGAGATGAGGGTTTTCATGAAGACTTCCCATTTAAAAAAAAAATTTATTCTTGCATAAACATTTCAAACATTTATTAATGCTGTTGAGCCATCTGGTTCAACAGCGTTCGAATACACTGGTAAAATGGATCATAATGTTATGCCGGACTGTAACCGAATAAAAACCCGCGTTAATCGCCCTCAGCGTCAACTATATATGGATCGATGTACTTATTACGTGATAATACGAATCGATGCAATGTGGCTTGAATAGGCCTTAAAGGAGGGCTATAAACATGTATGTCACAGGCCAATGGCATGGTCAGCTAGTTAATTGAATAGCTAGGCCGTTAGTTCACGTCTTTTAGTTAGTAGGAGGATACGGATAACATTTTGCGTTTCCACATATCGAAAATCGGCCCCTACGGTATAGCGGAAACTTTTACTTTCCTTTCGTGACATTGCTGCGCTAACGGTTATTTAGCCACGTAAAAAGAGCACCGCCACATTACAACGGTAGCAGAATCACGGTAATAACACCATACATTTAATTCAGTGTA